AATTGAAACTGAACGTAGGTTTCCTTCAAGTATAACATATTTTGATTTTAAAAATAAATCAATTTTTATAAATAATAATTTTGATAATTTTTGAAGCTTTACATGTTTAGAAAAATTTTTATAGATATAGATTAATTTTTTTGATATTTTTTTGATTTTTTTTTAATGATTATTTAAATATGAATTATATAACATATATAGAACTTTCTATCTATTTGTTATTTAAATGTTATTTGAAGGATAAATTTCATTGTATAAAATATTTTTATTTATTTTTTAAAAAAAAAGTAAAATATCAATTAAATAATTAATACATTAATTATATATCATATATAAATTATAATTAAGACATAATAACATAAAAAAGTTGAATTTTTAAATTCGCTAATAAAAAGAAATAAATAATTTCTTAAACTTATAATAATAATCTTATGAAAATATATTGATATTGCTACTTTATCATTTTTAATTTGTTTCTAACTTTCTAACAATAAATAAAATTTGAATTATTTATAATTTCAGAAATAAATATTTCAAAATTTCAATATCTATAAATTTATAAAGATAAAGAACATAAAAATATATAGAATTCATTATATATTCATATATTGCACCAAAAATAATATTTAAATGAATAATCAAGAATTTATATTACAACGTTATAATAGCTTAAATGATAAAAATATTATTTAATGTAAATCATATATCAAAGAGCAATTATAATTACTGTTGTACATCAATGCATGTTTTATCGCAAATGAAACACATTTTTAACGAGATAATAGAATTTGACAATTTTATATAGAGAGTCATATTTTTTGTGAAATACAACATTTAAATGAATTTAAATAAATAAATATTTACAACATTTAAATGAATATTTTTCACATGGAGAAATATAAATATGTATGTGCTATATATTACCAGCTTTTTGAAGGGAACCTTCGAACAGTTTCAAGATAAAAATCAAACTGGAACATTTGACCATCTAGTAAAAATAGTATTGTATGCACTGTGTTCTATGAATAAGATAACGTGAAAACAAATAAGAACACTTCCATTGTCTTGTGATAGTTCATGAGACCTATGCATACGCATTATTTTAATATACAGAAATAATATAAGTTTCATTTTTACGAACGATTATCGATAATAGAATGTCGAGAAATGGAATTGATCTGATTAAAATTTAACTGAAACAATAAGGTTCGCGTACTCGAACAGTAACAAAATTTTTTTGAAAATTATACATTCTAATTTAGATTTGTCAAACTGCCATATCACAGAAAATATTTAAGAATTCTTTTCATTAATATTTATGAGTATTTATTTATTTCATTCTTTTTTTTTTTTTTTTTTTTTTTTTTTTTTTTTTTTTTTTTTTTTTAAGTAAAACAAAGTTTTACCGAGTACGTAGAATCATTATTATTTAAAAAAAGATATGTCATTTGAATTATTTAGAATGATTATTACATAACATAAAGCTATATTTCGTCATTACGTCTTCTTTTTAAAATCAAATTATCGCAATTCCTTAATTGAAATAATCGATTTTTTTAATAATATTTATATTCTAACCCGTCACGTACTTGTACATTTCTTATGAATATTATTATTTTATTTAATTTTTTTAAAATCACAATCTCTATTCTACTAGGGAAAAAATGTGGTTGTATAATAATCTCTTGTATCTTTATTATTTTCAGTCATATATTATTCATTAGTGCATAGTTAATGTATCGCATTGTAGTATGCCAAAAATATATTTGTGAATTACAGAAAATCTTACGTTAACTAATAATATAATTATATTATACAAGAGTTTATAATAATGAGTAGAAATTCTAGAAACGTAATTATTTTTATTGAAATTCCAAATAAGAATATCGTCGAGGTATATTTTTGATTATTTGTTGAGTGGCGGGTGTTTTGTTAGAAATTATATTATTTAAAATTAATATATTGATGATACGATTATTATTTAATATATTGGATATAGATATTAAGTTATTTCCAATAGAGCGAAATATTATATGTAGTATAGATAGGGGAAGGGAAGAGTGCCCGTGATTGTTCCTGTCTGTGTATGCGTGTGTACGAAAATAATAATGGCAAAAGATTGAAAAAAAAAAAATGAAAAGAAGAAAATAAGTGAAAAATGCAATATAAGAAACACGTTTAAAGAAAAAAAACACACACACATATATATATATATANTTTATTATTTTATCTATATCGATCAATTAGATATGAATATACAATAAGAAATCATGTTATTATTACCTATGTACGTGTGTACATAGGTAAAGAATTATGTAAGTATCGTCGTGCGCCGTATGCCAAAAAAAAAAAAAACAAAAAAAAAATACACATTTTATCTTTATATCTTGTTTTACCATTGACGATCGAGCCTAAATAAAACGATCGCAGGATGAACTAAATGCGGCGCATGTAGATGCATTATACACTGTTCTTGCGATCTTTTACAAATAGTTTTATATTCGTTTTTATCGCGTAAGTGGGATCGCATCACGTGCGACTACATGCATTTGGTGCACCAAAATGCATTTTATCAGAATAATTGAAATTATTCAAAAAGCGAGCCGCAACATGTAGATATCGTGTAACTCGCATTTTTGTGTAGATCTAACATAAGCGCGGTTTCACCGCTACGCGTCTTCGGTCGGAAGAAAAGTAAACCTATAGCTTTTCTTCGTAGCGCAAACAAAACAAATACAGATATAATATACTTTAACAATGGTTAATGTGGGAACATTGCACAAAAAAAAAAACAAAAACATTACATATCCTCTGTTCATTCAATAGTAGACAACAAATTTTTCATCGATCGTGTCCCAAAAATTTAAACATTTAAGTCGGTATAGATATGATTTATGTGTGAAGCTCTTCAAAAACTTGATATTCGTTTTAATCAAAATAGAATTTTATAGTTCAAAAAAAATTAATGCAATGAACTCTTATTGCCATAAACTTTGCAGATTTCTTCCCGCGGATTTTCCGCGCAACCGAAAATTAAGATATCTGATTTGACTTTGTTAATTTGATTTTTTTGTCAATTTATATTTTGTACACAAGTATATTATTTTATGTTTTCAGTATTTCAAAAATTATATGCTTTTTTTTTTATTAAATCAATATCCAATAAGTTTATATTCAAATAGAAGAATATTAAAATAAGTTTAAACTTTATAACGTGCACTTCACGATTGTATAGCATTTCGATGTTCTTATGAGAATGAAATGCTCTTTTAAATACAAAATTATAAAAGTTAATGATATATATTTCATTTTTTTTTAGCGTACTTTTATGTAAAATGCCGATGACAACTTGAGATCGATGAGACCGATTTTACGGTGCTTTGTAATATTTTTAATTTTTTTATTTATTGATGTGCTTAAACGAATAATTAATAATTATTGGCATAGCGACACATGGCGACGAGAACAATAATTTTTATTATTTCCGTATATACATATATTTATGTATATGTGAATTAGTGAATTTGAAATCGAGTATCATTTAATAGTATTTGAAATAATCTGGATAACAATTTCAAATAAATTTTAAATATAAAAGAGAACATATTTAAGAAATTATTGTTCAGATTATTTTCTATTAAATTTAAATAATATCACATACAAAAGTATTGGTAATACTTAATGGTAAATGGTATTGGTTGAATTACAAATTGACATTCGTATGTATACAGGGTGTTTCATGAGTCGTAAATTAGTCGCTTATTGAAAAACTTATTATCGTAACTTGCAATCGTATTCTATCATTATTTCGTATTCAATGTATTCTAACCTGCAAGAAATCGTTCGCCAGTTTGGTACATTAATATATATACAGTTATTAAAAGTTTGTCATAAATAGATATTTTGTGGTTATTTGACTGCGTTTTTCTTTTCAATGTTCCGTGTATGAATTTAAAATTATGTAAATAGAATATAATAATTAAATTTTACAGTTCAGCTTTATGTAATATTGGGATAATTCTGTAAGTACATACTATACAGATGGTTTTGGGAATGAATAGGGTTCTATTAATCTTCGAGTTGGTACGTTGTTTTAAGCCACACAAGCATGCGTGTAAACACGGAAAATATATCGCTGTAAACTTCCCTTAATGCACAGGAAAATCGTAAACCTCACTCAAACATTACTTATTGTAATGTATATTGTAACAAAATGCTATTATTAAAATATCATTATTTATTTTCATTATATTATTATTTATTTTTGTATTTAAATTTATATTTAATTAATTTTTTGTATTTAAGTTTATATTTAATTTATTATTATATATTATTATTATTATTAGAGAACTGTAGATGTGTACAACTATTGAAAATTAAAACAAAATATTTAATATTATTATAATAAAAAATTGTATATTATATATTTACTTATTTGAGTAATACAATCAGTGCGATATTTGAAATTATATTATACATTAAATTTATAATTATAAGACAATTTATAAGCTATGAAACACTCTGTCTGTTTTGATATTTTTGTTCTTATATTGTTTTCTTATTGTTATTTGTAAAATTTATCGGCTGGGGCCAGAAGTAAAAAAAAAAAACATTGTATGAAACGATCATTACGCAAATACTATTTTTATTACTGTTAACCAAAAACATTGTCATAGTAACAATTTCAAATTGCAAATACAAATTTATTAGTAAATATTGAACTGATAAATAATGGCGAGCGTCTCACTATTTTATTTATTTATTAAGATGGAAAAAACGTTAAACGATTAATTT